TGGCGTGTGGCACCGCTTTCAATTCCGTATGCATATCCATAAGTGTGTGTATTAGAATAGAGATCAGGGGTCCCTCTACTTCAATAAACACCCATATTTTAGAAATTGCCTCAGGTTGCAAAATGTCGTTCATAAATCACAGATCCGGAGCCGAACCCTTTTTCAGTGGGCAGGTGCAGAACGAAAGTCCAACGGTGGGAAGGCAAGCGGAACGGCAAAGGAAGGAGCCAAGGTCTCGATGGTTTGGTCCCCATCGATGCCAGAATGTGAGCGTCAGGACATCAGGGACATCCAAAAGCATCTTCTCATGACATCAGGTTTCCCTGATTGTGGGGTTTCAATGCCCTTTGGTGGAAGAATGAGAGTGTACTCTGGTTGAAAAGGAATGAAGCTCATGCCAACATGATATGATGGCTCATAATGAGCCACCTGAACCCCTAAACATTGAATAGAGTTTTAGGTGCCAACAACAAGTCACTGTCCTTCCAACTAAGACCATTCCAGGTTTTTGAAAAGAATAAGCTGAAGTACTGAAGTGGCTTGGTGCGACACCCTTACACTAAGACGACGTACTAATTCACTACACTCACCCGGTGTCAAGAGTTTTCCCATGCACATAGTGAGGAGGAAAATGATCTAAAGCCAACCCACCTGCCTGTTTGGGCTGTGTTGGTTTGGGGGAGGGCTGAACGCACACGCATGACTTCTCCACCAAACTCGGCTTTTCGCTGCTCCTGCGCCTTGTCTTGAGGCTTCACTTCGCTCAAAACCTTCTCCTGAGTCTGCTGCAGTCGCCTCTGGCCGCTTGGCAGCTGGGTCCATCGCTAGTAGGTTGGAGGCCATCGCTATTAGGTTCGTTTGGGCTTCAGGCTGAGCCCAGACATGTCTTATCACAGACACTGGGGGCTTTGACCGACAAAGACACTTGCTTGCCAGTCCTCATTTTGAGACAAACTTTGTTTCTTTGGTTAGGTATGCGAGGCTGCCATATGGGTTCTCACATCATGATACTAGCTTGGACCTTCAGAAAGGTTCTAACACGTAGTGTGACAAAGGATATTGCCGGAGGCCTCAAAAAGGCTCCGACAGAAAAACTACTTCCAAACCTCAGGGGAGCATGGGTCACTTTTGGGGCCACAAAAGGCCCGGCTGGGAGCTACTGAATTAACCACGGCAAGATTGATTTACCTGGACCTCACTTGATCTGATTCAAGAAGTTCTGGCCTGACACCAAAGTTCAGAAGAGTTCGATATAGTTTAAAATTGTTCAATTGTCTCGGTCTTCTTCTCTGAGACAATCGATTCGGGATGGTTGTTTCAATCATTGCCTGGGCTTTCCCCCAATTGAAGCTTCGAAGAGTCAAGTGACCTTCATCCGAGTTTTGCCAAATTAATGGTCGTTGCACTGCACTGGAAAGCATCCACCTCAAACCCACCACTGCATCTGCATGCTCCTCCTTCGAACCTGAAACCTTTTTCCTGCAGAGTTCTGCGGAGTCACGCCGGATGCAAACAAGGCTCTTTTGCAGCATTTCCATCCTCAGCCCGGATCAACTGAGCTCCGCACTGATGTTTGAATGCCGATCCGCAACCCCGATGTTCCGTTCCGCACAGGTGTCCCAACTCCCACGCAAGCTCCTGTCTTGACAATTGCAATGATCTGTTCTACACAAAAGTTATGGCTGAGTAAGCCCTTGCAATGTCAAAACCCAAAAACTGGAAGCGAGCCTTGCACGAAGCCTTTCAATCCGTTTGTGAATCCTATCTACATGCAAAAGCAGGTAGATACAAATGGAGCGGAATTGAGGGATTCTTCTGCGACATGGCATCACACGGTTGCGATAAATATACTCAGGAAATTAGTTCGTTGAAAACGCGTCGCAGCAAAGGTAAAAGCGGTTAGTGTCCCATTTGCAACGCCGCTTCGGCAGTGTCACACTCCCTAAGATGCTCTAAAGAACCTTTTTCTGAAAAAGTTAGAAGAACATCCGATGCTCGCCCATAGGTCTTTGTTTTCGAAAGAAAAATGTTGGGTGTTTACGCTCCAAAATGGATCGGAGAGGATGACTCTGATCGAACGGCTTTTTTGGATCTTTTTGATGGAAGATTGTCAAAACTCTCTACAGCCCACCTTCCCGCTTCTATGTCACGTATTCTGAGACAATCGCGTCATGGACTGGCCCCACCCAATCCAAGCAACTGCTGCATGATCAGGCCAGAGCTTTGCGGTGAGGGGCAAGTCAGGGTGGGCGCCACTTGTGCCTGACTGTATTCAATGTCATGATTGCTGCAGAAACTTGAAAGCTGCTTCAACAAATTCTGACACCCAAAGTGGTTGGTGAGATAGTTGCAACAATCAATGTCAGAAGACTAGGACAGGTGAATACCAAGCACACCTTCACCCCTCTCCAAAGAGCGTTCTGAGCATCCCCACGTGGCCATTGCAAGCACAAGCGCCCGCAGGACAGCTTGGATAGCCGGGACAACTGGGGTAGCTCGGGCAGCTTGGATAACTTGGCGTCGCACAGCCGCTGCAAACACCGCATGCACCGCAACCTTGGTTATAGCCTTGGGCATACCCTTGGACACAGCCGCATGGTTGCCCACAGCCCTGGCCATAGCCCCCGCAGTTGCCACCACAGCCATAGCCGGCACAGCCATAGCCAGCACAGCCATAGCCGGCACAGCCGCCATAGCCACCACAGCCAGTTGGGGGCGGTGGGGGCGCATGTGGCGCCGCCCAGCCACTCCCACAGGGCGGAGCAGGCGCCTGACCCGCTGTTTTCAGGCCAAACAGCGTGGACAAATGTCTTCAGGGTCCGGTAGACTGGAACAAGAGACATGAACATCTGATCCTCTCCACCTTTCATTGTCAGATATAATAGCACTTCACCGGAGCGTGAGCGTTTTGAACAGGGGATTAATACCAAAAACGTTCCAGCTCGATCCAATCATTGATGGGTCTCGTCTGCTCATCACTTGATTTGCTCCCTGCTGACCCTACCCATCTTCATCCATCTGTACTAGCTGAGGCATATGCCCGCATGGCGCCATACTGGAAGGACTGCATGGTGGGTCGCGTCTCACGCCATCCACCGTGCTGTGGGCGTCAGATGGTGTCAGGGGCGCTCTGTGCAGCCAGCTACTGGCCCCGATGTCCCAGGGCTCATCCAGCTGGTGATTTGCACGGCTTAGGTTGGAGTACAAGTTAAGGGAAAAAAGTCACTGGGGTCACTTCCAATCGCATTCATAATTAGAATGCAATCTATCAGTTTACCCGACGCACGGATTGTCGGTTTGCCATGAAAGCCAAGCCGTGGAGTGACAAGCTGCAAAAGGTGGGTTTCAAAACGAAGTGAAGTTGACAGACTTCTGAGCCTTAGCATGTCAAGGGTTCATGACCTGTTTGATTCCACATGTTTGCTTGCATTGCCTGTGGATTGGCTGAAGGGGCATGCCATTTGCTCCCTTTACCTTCATCTCATGAGCCATAGAACAAAAACACCTCCAGCAAACAGATCTGTTCTGTAGATTCTAAACTCACTCCCAAGGATGATAGCCAACTGGCTCTCAAACCACTTGTATTTGTTCCTTTCTCATTCCCAATATAGGAGATAGCAACGGACTGGTCGCTACTGTTCACAACCAAACATGAAAAATCAAACTCCGCCTGTAGAGCATTAGAGCATAGCAACTCTCAGTAATTTGCCTTGTCCAACCTCGCTTGAACTCATCCATCGTCTCTCCGATCTTTCTTCTTTGCACACCATTGGATTGCTAAACCTTTGAGAAAAGACATCTACGCCAACCGAATGCCAAGCTCTTGATCTCCCACGGCCGCAGTTTTCTTTCAAAAGAGCTTGAACTCACAGGGGCCCAGCTCCAGCGGTTCGCTCCTTGGAGGAAGCCACTAACAGTGAAACTGAGAGACCACCCCCAGTAGAGGAAAGCTGGCAGCTTTAGCATCAGTTTACACGAAAGGCGAAAGGATATTGACATTTACTGACCAGACTCAAAGACCATATAGAAGACACCCACATGGACCCCAAACAAGGGTAAAGCCCGAGTTTCAGTGACTCGGTTCACTGAATCCCCAGTCCAGCTGTTGTAACGGAGGTCACCTTAAAGAATTCATGTTGGGACCCTTCGTTACTCTTCGTTGCGCAAAACTGTGGGAGTCGTCACATCTCCCGATTCCTCAGATTCTTTGGATTCGGCAAAGGAAGTGCGTTGTGGAAGAATATCGCGGAGGTTGCAAGTTTCAAGCGCCAAGGCACAACTGAAGGGCACAGAGGTCGATCGTTTCATCCAAAAGGCGCGTGTTGCTGAAGACCTACGGTGTCCGACTGGAACACACAGAAAAATCGTTTCCCGATCAAGCGGCAGGCAAGAGAAATCCAATGTGGGAATCAATCCAGGCTGTCAAAATGTAAAATTCTCCTAGCAGCTAGCAACTTTTGTTCAAATTCCCATCGGCTCGACTCAAGTCCCGTTACCCTCCCTGAAACAAGAAGTGGAAAACCCCTGGTTAAGGGGCCATGTTCCACTTCCATGATGGTTCGAGGGAGGGTATATAGTCTCTTCATAGAGCTGTATCACCTACAATGACCCAAACCGGACCTGAGGTCTCTCTGTCTCGTGATCTCGTTCACATCTGTTTTGCAATCTAGTTATTTGGTCAAGGGACACGGGATCCCAAATTAGACAATGGAGAGCCCCACCTCAGTCACTGTAGAATAGAATCAGGTCCCCACTTGTGAGCCACGCGATTGGCATGTGGAGCCTTTGCGACTTTTAGTTGCCTTCAAATATATAATTGAAACAAATGCAGGACCCTCTTACTGTAAATGGAGCACCCCAATTTATCAAATGCCAGTCCCATAAAGGTGTTCACTTCGAGAGCACCCACTGATGCCCGTTCTCCCGTCCTGCATGCTTCCATTGGAGTGTGGCAAGATGGTGTTCGGCGGAACCTGCCATTGGAGACTCCCTGAAAATCCGGTCTTCAAAGTTTCTCGGTCCAGGTGTAGAACGGTTCTTTCTTTTTAGCCCAGGGGTAGGCCACGAGTGGAGGTCGGGAGAGGCTAGCTACTAGCTGCAAGTGGACGCTACTACCGACATGACGCAGGATAGTTCGCGCTAATGATTTGGTTCCTAGGTTTTTAGGAAACCTACACACTTGTAAAGTTTTATTCGTGGGCAAAAGGAACTGTTTTGCATTTCGATGATCCTCCGGCTGAGATAACATCTCCCGGTGAGAGCATCTTGAAACATCGCGTGCCAACTACCCCAGGACGCACGGCGATGCTCCTACACTATAGCCGTTCGACCATGGGGCTGTGCTATCCTGATGTGGGTCCCTTGAACACTTGGAGTCCTTTCGAGTCCTGCCAGGCCTCTTCATTCATTTCTGGAAGCAGTTTGCACTGTTCGCACCCGGCTGAAACAGTTTAATCGTCGACTGTGGAAGTAAACATTCCCATCCACCGATCCGAGGCCCCCGACGTCAGCGCGAGCCTCGTCGTCTGGACCCTCTGGACTCGCCGGATCCAACTGGGTCTCTTCCACCTGGAGACGGACCGCCGAGGACCACGATTCCGGCCACGAAAAGCACTTGGGACTGTGGGTCCGTTGTAACTGGTAATGGAACGGAGTCCTTCCTTTCCAAGGATTTTGTCCCTCAAGCGCACCTTCAAACACATCTGCTCCGATAAGTTGTCATGGGCAAGTTCCATAGATTGGCGTATGGTTGCTGAAGAACGCAGTTTCACTTCCCACCTTCTTGGAGGTCACCAACAAATCCAAACACTACTGCTAGCCTGCGGAGATCTGGTAAAATAGTCTAAATTGCGGGGCAGTCAGTCAGTCAGTCAGTCAGTCAGTCAGTCAGTCAGTCAGTCAG